CTTTACCAAGTAGAACATGTGTTATTCATAAATATAAATTCAACTTACAAATCATACATATAATTTTTAAATCTTTCTTGAAAAATCTGTCTTTTTTCTAGGTACATCAAGAAAAAAAAATAAAATATAGAAAAAAAGTAGGCTTTTACGAGGACTTATGAGACTAGGGGAATCATTGAACTTCTGGTGCAGTAATGCAAAAGTTGCCCCTGGCATATAATGGAACCTTAGCTCAGCAGCGACTTCACAAAGGTCATTAGTCTAAACCATTAGTTATAAAATAATCTCAGCACTAACTGCAAATTGGCTCGTCCTAAAGGAATTTGAGCTTCCTCATCAAGATGACTTCTATCATCAACTCATTAAGCTCTTAGCAAGACCTTTGAACAAACCTATAGGGCAACTCAAAAAATGTAACTAGGAATGTCAGCTGAGTTTGACTTTCTATCTCATTGAGGTGCTCCTTGTCAGCCTGACCAAAAAATCAAACCATATAATTTTATTCGTAAAGGATTGTATTTGAACTACCACTATGACCTTCTCAGCCTTCGAGCCAACTTCAAAAATTTCTTGGAGTCATCTTCAAAGACTTGATCTAAATAATAGCATGAAGCTTTCTTTCAAGGATCATCATCCTCAACTCTTCCTTAGAGAACTTGGTTGCCTATTATGTCTTCTCAAACTCTCCAAACTTATCTGCAAAATCTTGAGATTCTCTCTTGTCAGAAGATGCAACAACTAGTTCTCATTCACCACCATCACATATCACCAGCATGGTCAACTCCACCAACAACTCGACTTCATCAACGGAAATGATACTCCACATAGTACTCTCATCAAAAGTGATTAAATCCTAAGTGGTGACTTCCTTAAAAGCTCACTCTGAGGTCTACCAACGTGCTTGCTCATTGGAAGGGCTATTTCAATAGACTTGACTCCTCCTCCTAATGACACAAACTCAAACATCAAAAGAATCGCCTTCATTGGCATTTATGAGAAGTTAGGTTTTAATCCTAGGAAGAGCCTTGCTTTGAGAAGTGTCGGACTCTAAGGGCTCGTTTGGGGTAGCTTATTAGGGTGCGGTGGCGTTTTGAAAACGTCGACCTTGGATCTTATCCCTGCCGCACTGCGTCCGCGTCTGATAAATCCTTATATGGCTTCGACGCAGGTAAAGCCCCGCGTCCCGTGTTAACGTCCCGCGTTGCCCTAGGAATTTCGGAGGAACCCCTGATCTCCCTCGCTGGATTCCTTTCCGGTTCATCACCCTAGAGCTGATGAAGAAATACATAGTATTAACAGTGGGATTTGGGGGAGTCAAGCTCACAGTCAAAGAGGCCTAGGCTAGGAAGAAAGAAGAAAGAGAAGGAGATTTTTGTTCAAACTTCATTTGACCAACTCATAGATGTTTTTGGAGTTCCACCGCCTGCTCTACTTCCTGACAGCACTATCTTTGATTGTCTTCGAACTTTGGCAAATATCCGAATAGGCGTTTTCATGCATTATGTATGAAAAAATTAAAGGATCTAACACGTAAGCAAATATTCATGGCGATGGAACCAGAGTTGAGAATCGAGTATTTGCGTGTTCTTGTGGATGAATGATTTTTTCTATGTTTTCTTTTGTTGTATTATGAACTCTTTGAAATTATGTACTCATTAGTTATTTGGAGTTATGTTTTTTTTTTAATTGTACTTCTACATGATTCCTGAATGCCTTTTAGTACAGCTCTACACATTTGTTTTATAACTGGTTTTGTGTTCTCATTGTTTATTTCTCGTTCACTCTATTGGTTAGTAATTATTGAACTAACTGACATTTTTCTTTCTTTAGGATGGATTCGAAACATGAACATCGTAAGAGAATGGCATGGGCTGCAGCTATTGCCAAATTATTTTTGGAGTATTACCGATCAAGCAGCGTTTGTATACCCCGTATGACCACCAGCTTTATTGGGGATAAATGGGTAGGTGAGATGCTATCTGGACATCCAATTAGGTTCAGCAACATATTTCGAATGACTGTATCGATATTTATGGATCTACTACAAGAGTTATCCCTGAATCACGGACTCCAAGGTTCTTCGAGAACAATGAGAAGGGAGGTATTCCAAGACAAATCGCAACTGATCATCGTTACATGGCTTACTTCAAGGTAACTATTCTTTTCTTTACGTCCAAACTAAAATGTAAATATTTTCTAACCCTATAAAACAGAACTGCATATGTGCAATTGACGGTACTCACGTTGATGCCCAACTACCCAGCCAGGACAAGGTGGCTTACATTGGTCAAAGTGGTTCACCCACTCAAAATGTCATGGCGGTATGTTACTTTAACATGTGTTTCACATATGTTATGGCGGGCTGGAAAGGGAGTGCACATGACAGTAGGATTTTCTCCTATGCTACTAGGAATAGATCGCAGAGGGAGTGCACATTATAGTCGGATTTTCTCCTATGCTACTAGGAATAGATCGCAGAGTTTTCCTCATCCGCCTTCAAGTATGTTTTGATTTATAAAAGTTCAAATTATATGTATTTATTGCAAATAACAATGTCTACCATAACAGGAAAAAATTATTTGATTGATGTTGGATACCCTATGCAGAGGGGCTATCTG